GAGATGGGTACAGATGCCCAGGGATAGGTACAGAGATGCTCAGGGATGGGTATAAATACGCAGGAATGGGTATAGACACCCAGGAATGGGTATAGACACCCAGGAATGGGTATAGAGATATCCAGGGACAGGTATAGATGCCCAGGGATGGGTATAGATACCCTGGGATGGGTACAGAGATATCCAGGGATGGGTATAGATGCCCATGATGGGTACAGAGATACCCAGGGATGGGAATAGACACCCAGGGATGGGTACAGAGATATGCAGGGATGGGTATAGATACCCAGGGACAGGTATAGATACCCTGGGATGGGTACAGAGATATCCAGGGATGGGTATAGATGCCTAGGGACGGATACAGAGATGCCCAAGGATGGAAATAGACATGCAGGGATGAGTACAGATGCCCAGGGATGGGTACAGAGATACCCAGGTATGGGAATAGACACGCAGGGATGGGCACACAGATACCCAGGGATGGGTACAGAGATACCCAGGGATGGGCAGGGATGGGTATAGGCACCCAGGAATGGGTACAGATACCCAGGGATGAGTACAGAGATATGCAGGAATGGGTATAGATACCCTGAGATGGGTACAGGGATACCCAGGAATGGGTATAGATACCCTGGGATGGGTACAGACACCCAGGGATGGGTACAGAGATGCCCAGGGGTGGGTAGGGATGGGTATAGGCACCCAGGGATGGGTATAGATACCAAGGGGTGGGTACAGAGATGCCCAGGGATGGGTATAGACACCCAGGGATGGACACACACATACCCAGGGATGGGTAGAAATGCCCAAGGATGGGTACAGAGATGCCCAGGAACAAATATAGATACCCAGGGATGGGTACAGACACCCAGGGATGGACACACACATACCCAGGGATGGGTAGAAATGCCCAAGGATGGGTACAGAGATGCCCAGGGGTGGGTACAGACACCCAGGGATAGGTACAGATACCCAGGGATGGGTACAGAGATGCCCAGGAACAAATATAGATACCCAGGGATGGGTACAGACACCCAGGGATGGGCATACAGATACCCAGGGATGGGTAGAAATGCCCAAGGATGGGTACAGAGATGCCCAGGGGTGGGTACAGACACCCAGGGATGGGTACAGACACCAAGAGATGGGTATAGATGCCCAGGGATGGGTATTTTTANGAGGGGGATCGGAGAGACGGACTGAGAATGTGGAGAGGGAACATGGGAGAGAGAATATGGGAGAATATGGATAGAGAACATGGATAGAGACCCTCTCAGCCCAGGGCACCCATCCCTGGGTCTCCCCCGTGGGCAGGGGGCTGTTTCTCTTTGAGGCACAGGTGTTTGTCCTTTAAACTGCCCTCACTGCCCTGTGGGGCAAATTCAATGTGCAATAAAATGAGGGAGGGGACATTCAAGGCCTGCCAGCAGCAGTAGGAACTGAGATTAAACAAGTGGAAGGTGTCCTTGCCCATGGCAGGGGCTGGAATGAGTTTAAGGGTTTAAGGTCCCTTCCAACCTATCCCACTCCATGATTCTGCTGCTAATCTCTGTCATTCTCCCCCTGCCAAGTCAGTACTGTGAAAAAGCTGGCTGACCCGAAGGGGTTAACAAAGACATTACCTAAAAAGCCCTTAAGCAGAACTATTTTGCAACACCTACTTCAAAAATTCCCTGTTACTTCTGTTTAAACACCTGAAATACCACAGAAGGAAATTATCTTAATTTCCACTCCAGTAACATTTCCATCTTTGCTTTATTGATTCCAAATCAGAGAGGAAAAAACAATTTAATTTACCAATATTTTTATTCCCCTTACATCGTTCACAGCCTCACTGATTGGAGGCTGCAGAACTCAATATTTCTGTACATAACCTTAGTATTTCATTTGCACTTTTGTGTTGCAAAGGCTTCTTTGAGATTAAGCACCAAGATGTGGTGGGAATACAGAGAACAAGCAGTGGCTGGGAAAAGTTTAGGAAAAATTTGCTGGGAAAAGAGAGAGTGCTTCTAGCTAAAGGAGAGGCATCCTGGGATAAAAACCCTCTGGTTAGAGCCTGTGATCATCTGGGGTGCTGTGAGCGGTTAATTCCTTCAAAATAAAGATTTCAGTGATCCCATGGGCTCACCTCTGCCTGAGGTTCCCATTTCAGGGGTGAGCAGCAGCTCTGGTGTTTGTTTTTTCAAGGAGGACATGTGGCAGGCAGGCCAGGAGCAGGGTTTGGAGACAGGCTTGTATTGACAGCTGTGATTTCTGGCTGCACAATGCCAGCCTGGTGCCAGGCACGGCGTGCAGCTGTGCCAGCCAGCTGTGGGTAAGGCAGGAAGGCTGTTTCCACTGGGGCATCCCCCTCTGCACTCCCAGGGAGAGAGCTGGCCAGCAGGGGAGGGAAACAGGCCGGGCTGGCACACATGGAGGGATCTGAAGGCTCCTGGCTTCAGCCCTGTAGCAGATTCCTGGCCACAATCATCCTCATGACCTCGTTGGTACCTGCAGCAGGATGGGCACACAAAGGAAACGCAGTTAGGGCATGGTCCAGGATTTTCCTCCTCAAAAAGCCAAGAGAATTCTCCCCTGATGTGCAGTTTACAGCACAGAGGAGCTCTTCCCATTTAGGTGGAGCTGGGCCAAAACCCAACTGCCAAGGGCCAGCATATTGCTTGGGAAATTGCTGCTTTTTATGTGAGTGTTGGGAGGCTGCAGGAGCAGGCATGGAGCAGAACTGGATTTACAGCAACATCTGAGCTCTCTGCTGCACATTTAACACATACACCACACACAGGCTGCAAACTCACTGGGTGTAAGAAACAGCATGTCCCTTACCAGCTACCCTGGTTGTAGGTGAGGGCATTTCAAAGCATGGAAAACAGAATATTTAGGAGGTGAAACTGGGATTAGAAATGGCCAGATACTGTTAGAGACACAGTGTCATGCCAGAGCTAGGCATTCCTGTAGTTAAATTTTTTAACAATGGCTTTTCAGGCCATAGATCTCAGAGAGAGGTGAGTAGAAATTCATGATAGAATTTGTTTTATTTTTAGGGTTGTGCTTTGTTTTAGGGGGGTTGGCAGCATCTAACCCCTCCCCTTATTACGGACCAAAATCACTGTTAGAGAAACAATGTCAAGGAGAGCAAACAACCAAAATCACTGGAGAGGAATTGTTAGGGAGAATCATCACATGGCCAGGAGGAATGGGATGAAACTGGACAGAGGCACTGCTAACATGGCAACTAAATATATTTCTCTGCTGTAAGACTCCTAAAATAGCCAGCAAAATATCTTCCTCTGCCCTCACACAGCCAGAGTTCCCAACCAGGGCACTCACACACAGCACACCTCATGCTCAGAGCAGAGCAGGGCTCTGACACCCAATAATCAGACTCTCATGGGAAGGTGGGAGCCTCCAGGGGGTTTTTTCTCCCAACCCCACTGCCAACTTCCCTTGTTCTAGGAGTGTCTTTTACCTTCCAGGATCTGGTGCACTCTGATGTCTCGCACGAACTGCTGCACGGCGTAATCCTTCAGGTAGCCATAGCCCCCATGCATCTGCAGAGCCTGGTTACAGATCTGAGGGGATAACACTGCTCTGAGCTGACTTGTGAGGACACAACAGTGGCAGAAACTCAGTAATGACCCAAGAAACTGAGCTCACTTTTTCTCCCTGGTCACCTAATCTCATCTCTTAAAAACGTAGTGTGACTGTCAGACCCCATCAGTGCTGCTCTCTGTGCTAGCACATCCCATTTCACATGAAGGGTGTGTTTATGTGAACAGCAATGTCCAGAAATACCCAGGGATGGGCACAGATACCCAGGAGTGGGTATAGATTACCTGGGATGGGTACAGAGATGCCCAGGGATACCCAGGAATGGGTATAGATACCGAGGGACGGATATAGATACCCAGGGATGGGTATAGATACCTTGGGATGGGCACAGAGATACCCAGGGATGGGAATAGACATGCAGGGATGGGTACAGATACCCAGGGATGGAAACAGATACCCAGGGATGGGTACAGAGATATCCAGGGATGGGTATAGATGCCCAGGAATGGGTACAGGGATGCCCAAAGATGGGTACAGATACACGGGATGGGTACAGGGATGCCCAGGGGTGGGTATAGACACTCAGGGATGGGTACAGGGATAGCCAGGGATGGATTTAGATACCCTGAGATGGGTACAGATGCCCAGGGATAGGTACAGAGATGCTCAGGGATGGGTATAAATACGCAGGAATGGGTATAGACACCCAGGAATGGGT